CCTTTGTATTGAATAAAGTAGACAAATTGGGACAAAAAATTCTGCTACAACGACAAATGCATAACTTTCAAACATCATCTCTACACCACATTTGTGAGCATCTTGACAATACAGTAAACACCCGAAAATAAGAACCTAATGGACTAAGAACCTCTTGCCAGAAATTTGCCATTCTAATAACCCCTTAAATAACAACCCTTTTAGCCAAACATTATCTAGCAGGTTCTTGTAATATGGGTTAGAGCTAAATTACAGGATAAACAAACCATAACTTACTGAATTTGGACTTTTTAAGGACTAATTTTCAATTTTCAAGGACACCAATTACAAAGAGAAACGATACAGTAAACTTACTAAACCTGTGTCTTACCAAGCAGCAACAATAATTTAACTTTATTTATTAATTTATTTTTATCTTTCTCTTTTGTRGAAGATTTTCCTCGATCTCTATTAACAGGTATTGCAAAAAGGATTGAATTCTTATCATTTGCTTCAAAGCTTGACTAAATTGATCCTTAAAACATTACTTACAACAACCAAGACTGATTCAAGAAACTAAATTATCACTTTCAAGGACCTTTAATATTATAGTATCAAACTTGTTTTTTATTCTTATGATATATATGCAATAACAACTGTATCTCCCTGTTAGAAATTAAGAACCTAATTAAGAACCTGTTTTGCCAAAATTACCAACAACTACCCTTAAAACAAGAACCTTTTTTGCCAGACTTTCAAAAAATAAGSCTCTTATTTTCAGGTGTTTACTGTAATACCCAGGTAATAATTTAAACATGAATAACAATGATGAGAGCAGTTTAGTTTCTAAATTCATGTTAGGAGGGATGTTAGATATGAAATGTCTCTCCAAAGACAATGGTATTACAAAAAGTATGAACCCTTATCCACTATCTTGAAAACTATGTGGAAATTTGTACTCAACCTAAGTCCATTTTTGATGCCTGGTTTTAAGGCAAAATTCAAACAATTTTACAACACAGGATTATTCATCAATTAACAATCAGAAGTAACTAACCTCAAATATTTATTTATCATGAAACAAATTTACAATTTTGAATTACTTACATGTAGCTTTTGATATTGATGACATACATGTACGTATTAAAAAAGGACGTCATGACAAGGCTAAAGTTTAAGTAACGATGTGTGTAAGAACTGTAGTAAGAACAATAGACCCACGGCACGGACAAACCATTTGGGGATTTGACAGGAAAGCGATAATCCTCTCTAATCCTGTTAATTCCAAAGCTCTGGTTGGACAAGCAAGTTTAACCGCCAAATTCAAATGGTTTTTTGGAGCATTCATCATTTAGGTATCGTGTCCATCTCCAGGAATTCTTATAATCTTTTCTCAGTTTGTCTTCAAGASCCTTATTGATTTTTAGACGTTTTGTATGTGGGGAATTCCTATAACTCTACTCGGGTATCGTATTCGCGRTAACTTTCCCTTTTGGTATTTATCAGAGCTTGACATATTCTGATTTTGTTCCATATGATTGGCGCGGATGGCGATACGTTGACAGATAGATGCCGGGAAAAGTGACGAGCAGTATTTATTACAAATATCTAGACAATATTTATTGTATCAGTACACCTTTTTTTATAAACCAAACATTGTTCTTAGTTTGAATACTGAAAAATGACTTTCAAATTGCCTGTAAAAGTTAAAATAAGTTCAATCTATCCAGTTCCGATACGGCGTTGTTCCGCAAAACTCATTCAAGTAAAAGCAACTCCCGTTATATACAACAAAGTTCAACCAAGAAATKAGAATACATATTCAGAATTTTCAAAGCAGCAAAATGTAGCAAGGARAAAGTACCACTGGTAGAAGCCCACGTCGTTACAGAAGAGCTTCCGGTTTGCAATATTACTTGTGGCTCAAGTTACATGTTTGCCGCAAGATCTGGAAAAGCGCATACCGACTTCGCTAGCATATTACCTATTCAGGGATCAATATAATATGGCTTCATCGATCAGGTACGTTTCAAAATATCATAAATGAAGCATGTGCGTGTTTATTTAGTATGAAACTTGGAATTTGAAAGTTATTTGTAGCACATGGTACTAAGAACGCATGTGTGATCCAAGTGAGACGAGTGTCTTTCGATTCGAAAAATTTATTATTCTACGGCATCTATGCACTAGTTTAGTTTTGTAGTAAACCATATGTATTTGACAGTTACAGTACTTCTCGAAAGCGTGGGGCTGAGAACGATCACGATAATGTAAATGGCGCGAAAAGATGTAGAAACCTTCCGGTGAGTATAGAATTGTTTATGTTGGGTATTGCAACAAGAAACTGTAACTAGTTCTCCTGTTTACAAAGAAATAGATCGAATGAACTGTTTCTTACTCGTGATTTCCTCAATTCTTAGATAACTCAACTCCAACAAATTTATGGCAAGACAACAAGTTCCAGTAGGAAAGCACAATGCTTTGCTCTATGGAAGGAGGGAAAGTCCTTCGGACGCATCGCTGAAACGCTATCCGTAAAGCCAGCAACAGCTGAAATTTACATTATTGATTATATATTTTTGGGAAATGGTAGCAAAGAGGATCAAATCAAGATGCTCAGAGAGCTGAAAATCAGCAAAGATGAATTTGACACTGTTGTGAAGCTATTATCTGGAGACAACGTCAAGCTTCGAGAACTCAAAGATTCTACGGGTTTCTCCTACAATCAAATCCGAGCCATCATAGCGGCACTGGTCAATGGTTTTGACTGTTTGTAAAATGCATATTTTAGTTATCATAGAAATATTCTATTGTTACTTACACAGTTGCATTGTCACATGACTGCAATGTCAGTAACTGGATAAGTTTTCATTTTCCTGTTCAAGTTCCCATTTTTTGTAAAAAATTATCTCTTGCCAATTTCTATCCAAGTTCCAATTTCTTTTGACTTCATTGCCATATTCAAAGTTTGAAATGAAATGGAGGAAATGAAGAATACATTTATGTAGTTGTGAACAAGACATACAAGGATTTCGTATATATTCATTTTATTTTATTTTCTATTATCTCACTTTGAAAACAAATTCAAAAAGTAAACATAAAACAGATATTATGTACGAGCCACTGCAACCTGTTAAACACACTGTGTAAAAACAGTACAAATTGTGAAAAACTAGTGTTTCTGCTTTGTACTTTTAAAATCTCCTGTTATTTTGCCAATTCAACAAAAAAACCTTCAAGTATTTAGTGTAAACTATCACATTTATATTATATCCACAAGTTTTATAGTTATCCATGATTTCTTTAATAAAACAAAAGCATTCATCTACATAGTTTCTACTGTGAGTTATCCCAATTATATTGGAATTGTAGCCCAGTCTGTTTGATTTATCACTATCATGAAAATGTTGGCTTCTTTTTCAAGCTTGCAAATACAGAGAAATTTGAGTAAAACACTACTGCTCAGATTTTTTACCACATAATATTTGTAACAACTCTGATGGGATTTTATTACTATGACAGTATCATTTTACAACAATTCCTGCTTCTGAATTATTGAGATAAAATGTTTTCTATGTTTTTTTATGGAGAAAACTTAGTACAATGAGTGTAAATATGGTTTTGAAATAGAGTTGCACTTCCTAAAAAAAATATTTTTTCATAACTGTTCAGCCTTTCTTGCATAACAGCTGCTCTTTGCTTCTAAAAAGAATAAAATATAGCATACAATTTTTCATGATGGCATTCCTTTTACATAATAGGTACAGGTCAATATAATACTTTTACTTGAATTGCTAGTCTACACCAGGCAAACTTTCATGGATTGATGACATGTCATAGGAACATACATACCTGTATCAGAAATGTCTAGTTGCAATCCAGTATTCGCAGCCTTCCAGCCTTGTAAAGAAGCATGCTAGCATTAAAAAAAACAATTGTAAATATACAAGTCTGTACAAGTAATTATGTTTGTTGACTGCCAATTGCTTGCTCTCAACAGAATATGAACCCTGATCTGTCAAAGTAAGGTTATATAGAAACTGAGCAAAAGTTATATAGAAACTTTTAATTTAGGAAGGAAATTATTTTTTTGGCATTAAAAAAATATTTTGCGCACCTACACGCCAAACATCACCAGCGACTCGAACCCTGCCACTCCCCAAGATGTGCTACTGACAAAAACAAAAGAAACATTACAAAAAACAAACAGGGAATAAACAGAAAACAACAATCAATCAATGTCTCAATCAAATAACAGCTTACAGAATACAAGCAGGAAGACAATGTCTATTGGTCTGGCTCTGTCCACGGTGGTATCTGGCACTGGCTGTGTGAAGACTAGCAGTGTTTTGCTCTGGCTCTGTCCACGGTGGTATCTGGCACTGGCTGTGTGAAGACTGGGGGTGTTTGCTCTGGCTCTGTCCACGGTGGGATCTGGCACTGGCTGATGACCAGTGTTCTGGTCTGGCTTTAGTTATGTCCATGTCCATTATTCATTATTGTATTTGTTTGCTTGTCTAGAATTACAAATATGAGATAGTGCTAATGGAGGCAGCTCTAACAGTTGTATTCCATGTGTCTTGACACATTTCCAGATACCAAATTGCTAGATCTCTAGCCTGTCCTGGCCCTGCATATGAAATCAAAGCCCCTTTGCCCGAGTGGAGGTGTGAATCCACAATGACACTAGATCCATCAGCTAACACAAGAAGAGCTACTGCCATCTCAATGGCAACAATCACATTATAACTTGGCTTGCCAACAACAGCCAACTGATCAAATAGAGTACACACTCTTGACCAACATTACGACCAAAAACATCATACTGCGATTCAATGTTATCAACACAGCATTCGTCGCCAGCTATATCAACAGCTTCATCTACAGCAACATTGACTGCGTCACCATCAAAAATGTCTTCATGTATAATGTTGCCCTGAATCATTGCATCTCTCAAAGCTTGCTGCCAATCTTGGTGAATACATGCAGTGTTTGCCAACGGTTGTAGACCACGACTGGAATGAAAATGACCAAACATCAGTGCAATGAAGGTACATGCATTGCTACCACTCCTTCCTTCTATTGTTGATTGACTGAAGCTTGGGGGGAAGACCCATTCTTTAATTGTTGGCCTGTGGGAACTTATGATAAAGTTAACATGATACAAATGTTGCATGTTAGATGTTGATGKCTGTGAATTTGGCGTACTATTAGATGGCAGARTGGCAGGTGTATCCAGTGTCACTGTATTATTGGGTAAGGGGATTGCAGCAGTTCTAGGTGGGATTTCTACACAGGCTTCTGGTGTCATTGTGTCATTGTGTTCAGGAGTTGTACCATTTACAGGGATGTCTTGGGTTTCCTCACAGGCTTCTGGTGTCAGACTGTCACTGGGCTGAGGTACAGATGTATTTGTTCTCACTGCTCCTTGGTTGAGAGCATCTTTTTTCTTTCTGTGATACGTTGACCACCAACTTTTAATTTGTTTTTCGGTGAGGACTTCAAGGCCACGCTGTTCCATCACTTCCTGTGCTTCTTTTGGCTTTGCACGAATCCCATGGAGTGCTTGTCGGTCATAAAATTCTATCATCACAGTCCTTTTGTTCCTTGCTGAATGTGGTCCTTTTCCCACTACCAGTCTTGATAGCATATCCTGCTTGAGGAAGACATGCTGCGAATGGATGCACATGGTCTGCTTCGATGTTTGGAACAACAGCCGGTTCTGGTGCATGCTGTATGAAGCGGATACAATAATCATTTCCAGTTATTGGTTGATCTCCTGTTCTTTGTGCTTGGGGGGATGACGAAGATGCATTAATAGAAGCTCCAGTTGAACCTGCCACAGAAGCTGACTGTCCACCTAGTGCATTCAGTTGAACCCTTGTTTTCTTCATTTCTTTGCCAGCACCACACAATGATCGTGCAATTATGCCTCCAGCATATTCACCTTCTACAGGAAAGCTGTAAAACTGCCATAAAGAGATATGTCTTTCATCGTCCCTACGTTCTTTGGGGCTCTGCTGCGGTCAATCTTCATCTCAAGACAGGTGGTATTCTTGATTGTCTAGATGATGAAATGGTAATTCAAAATATCAATAACTGTATTTGATAACAAAACACTAATTCTATTATGATGTGGAGTCTATATTATGAAAAATTTAATGGTTGTAAACATTACTTAACCAACAGGTGTTAAATGAAGCAATACATTCAGAATATTAGGTGACTTCAATTGATATATGTTTCCATCTGTATTACTAGATGATTCAAATAAATGAATTTTCAGGAAAATATGAACAACTTCTCTGATAAGCATCTTTACTTCTTTTTTTGTATCAAGAAAACAATTATTAATTAAGAACAAAATTAGAGTGCAAACATTAAATGTGTGCAACACTTTCCACTATTTACTACAAAATGGTGTTAATTAAACAATAGAATTAGCAGTATTTAGTGGTATTTGATGTTGAACAGTTTCAGTRTTTGTACTCTAGTAAATGCACTCTTACCCCAACAAGATCTGCAACCTGCTGACCAGTTTCCAAGTTGTTACCCACCCTCACCCAGCGAACAATTTTGTGACTAATATGGGCAAAGTGTGTATCTAAGGCAGTCTTCCCTTCTCCAGCTTCAAAGTTATTGTACTCCACCAGCGTCRGATTGAAGGCATCATTTACCCCAGCCAGATAAAGTAAAAATGCTGTGTTATGATAATGAGGCCCATTGTCTAGAAATGAATATGAAAACATAATAAATCTATTACACCTTTTAAGTTTTTTTCTTGTATTCCTCAAATTTCAATAAAATAAAATTAATAATGAAATGCATACAAAAAACAACAAGCAACAAGCATGTACTGAAATGGACATTTGAAATCATACATTAACAAAATTACTATAACACCAAATAAATATAATCCACCAAACATTTTGTTTGTCAAAGTGATTCCAGCTGGCAGGRAAATTAGGGACTTGTTTTACAATAATGTTTCACGAACAAATATTGGACAAGATGGCACAACAATCAAGCATACATGTATATTTACTAGCAAAAAGATTCTTTGCTCTCCTGAAAATAAATCAGGGAAATTAGGGACTTGTTTCACAATGTGAACATGAATATTGGACATGATGGCACAGCTATCAAACATAAATGTACATTTACTAGCAAAAAGATTCTTTGCTCACCTGAAAATAAATATACTCTGAAGCCTGGAAAAGCATCCTCCAGCCAAGTGAAACCAATATGAAGGGCACTTTGAGAGAACCACGAATCTTGCTTGGTATCATCACACCACAAATCAATAACTTCTGATGATCTCTCATTGCTAGTTAGTTGGGCAATAACATAAAAACCATGGATAGAAAGACCACGCTTTCCGTACCAGTCACGCTGGTTTTCTCTTATCCTTTTTCCAAGTTCCAACTTCATTTTGTAGTCAACAACTACAACACACTCTCCAGGTCTGAGATTCTTTTTTACGTACTGGTGATAGTCTCCCTGGTGTCTTGTTCTTATAAGATGTGAGATATATGCCAAATGAGTTGACTTAACTTCATTCAGTTCTTCAGCAAGTTTGTTCCTAGCAGTTTCTTCGATATGCTGCAGTTGTATACATTTATCAAGGGTTGCAGTTGCTTCATGAAATACTTTCATGTCCGTGCAGTAACTGTTATGCTGCTCAGTGCAGGACCCTATTGCATGATCCAAACATAGCTCAAGGCAAGATGAGTGACGCTCGAGAGATTTCATAAACTTCTTTTTCAAGAAAGTCTGATAAATTCTTAGGGTATTTTTTAGGCTGTCAGAGTCAAGTTGTGAAGTTAAACTGCTGACCTTGTCAATGAAACTGTACAGCTTGTCAAAATTGTCATGGCCATAGTCATAGCAAAGGTTGCAAAGCCCTGCTAGCATGGTATCCATTCGGAAGTTAGTTGGCAGATGAGTGTAAATATAAGTCCTCTTGACTCCATTTGGATACTGTAGTAAATACTGGTCAATAATGCCTTTCACAGAATCTTGCCAATATCTGACACCAGTCTCATTTCCATTGATTAGCACACTACGACATGAGGATGGACGGCTTATGTCATCCCGATATAAGAAATTTGTTAGATCTTCTAAAACGTCAGGGCTTACCCTTTGACGGGTGAACTTCAGGTGAGGTGGAGGGACACCGCCACGTCCAAAGAGAATTGCATGCACTTTTGCTGCTGATACAGTTGATGGGGAACACCCAAACAAGTCCTGCAGGTAGCTATATGGATAATCCATAGCAACTATTGACAGTAACCTTCTCTTCTCATCTCCATAGTGACGAGCTCTTCCAATTTCTTTTGCTGCCTCTATTCGTGATCCCCCAAATGTWGACCCATTTAAGGATATTTTGCTATCCTGTTTTGTGTTGCCAATGACAAACTTAGTCTTCTGTTGCTTGGCAGTTGTTCTTATCATTTGTACAGTATCTTTGTCTTTAMAGTTTTTATATTCCTCAGCTAAAATGACCACAAAATCTTTAGTCTGAGGACCATAGGTTTTTACATCTTCACCAAAGGTCTGTAACCACAACCGGCTGTTTAATGTGTCTTTCATGAAGTCTGTAAGTGCACGGCCATAATCATTGTGCACATACTGTGAGGCAATATCAAACACAGTTTCAATAAACTCAGATCTCATGGATCGTTTTCTACGATCTTGTACATCTTGGTAAGGGTTTGGCAGGGATGGAACTTGTTGACCTCTTGTGACAGTGGGGCTTTGTTTTTTATTGCACTCCTATAAGAAATGAACATTATTCAAATTAGAAAGAATCATCTGAGTTTGTATTATACTTATTACACTTTCACTGCATTTTCTACTTTCTTACAAAAAAATTTAAAACTCACCTTGTCAAGTAAAGATACAGTTACATCTGCTGCAACGTTGTTACTATTTAAGTTTCCAACTATCGGTATATTCTGAAAAGCAATAGCAGATTTATTGATATTGTTTGATTTCTTAGTTTACAGCAATATGCAGAAATTATGATCTTTTTCTCATATTTCAAGTATATCTAAAATATATTAGAAATCATGGGATATCATCGCCTATATTTTTCCCCAAAGTACTAGTGCTAGGCAACTTCAAAAAATATAGGCGATGATATCCCATAATTTCTGATATTTTTTTATATACTTCAAATATGAGGAAAAATATCATAATTTCTGCATATTGCTGTAGGTACTATAACATGCCAACAGCTTTAATGTAAAGTCAGTTTTGAATTTGCTAGTTCACATACAAATAATTACTGAAAAAATGTATAAAATTACACTGTGTCACCCCGGAAATAATCCAAACAAGAATCATTAGCAGGTAGCTATAACGACAACATAAACCCACTCACCATTTCACTTGGAGAGATGTCCAAACTTGCATTTTCAGAGTCTTCGATGGCATCCTGAAAATCAGGATACATATATGGTTTGCTTTCATTTAAAAGTATTCCTAAAATGATTCCATATGCAAAATGCACTGATGGAAGTAGTCTTGGAAGGCTGCACAAAAGCAATACACATACCCTCAGTCTTAGTCTTCACTAAATTTTGTATAATAAATATAGTGTGATTTTTAGTCAACAGTATTGAGCATAAAAGTGCAGTGCAAAATATTTAGCCTCCACACAAGAATACATGTATGGTATAAGGATATGTCCAGCATTCACAATAATCATCAACACACAAAATGAGTTCAAATTGTTTCTCTTTGGTATCTTTCATTTCATTACCATAGGGGAGCTTGTAGATTCATATTCATTAGCATCGATACTCAAAGTCTGCAAAAATAAATTTAGAACATTTCAGGAAGGGTATGAACAAATTCCAAGTTATAAACAACATAAGGACTCTTCTACACTGAGTAATGTCCAATTTTATTCTTATTCGCACAACTTTTCAAACACTAATTTTTCACTTCAGATCGAAAGTGCACTGGCAAACGTGCTTGTATTTTAACTGAAGAAGGCTTACATTTTTTGGTTATACGTAGTTTTTTACGCAGATTTTGGACTTGTGATTTGTAAGCCTATAAGCTTATAGAGTACGTCTTATGACACTCACAAGTAAAATTATAAACCACCTCAATACGGAAGAAACAAACACAAAAATACGCAATATACACCACACTATAAAAAAGAGATAAGATAATAACTTGCTGAACTAGAATCTATGAAAACTTACCACGAGTTGTTCTTCATCTTGATGTTGAGGCGCAGCAGATTTTTCAAAATCTTCAATCTTTTTTTCCGMTATTATGCGGCTTCGGCAAGCCAGGCAGATCTTTAATTTTCGGCTTTTGTACTTTTTACTTTTAAAGCAAAACTTCTCCTCGTTTCTCTTACAGACACGTAAATCTGACTCGTCGAGTCGCGTAGAATGATGCCATTCATTATGCAGCTTACATGAACACTTTGACGACGAAAATGGCATTTTTAAAAAGAGAAACTGGCATGAACCATTACTATGAACAGTATAATTCGTTGGACACAGCTAAATCTTTCATAAACTGATAAAAAACCATCAAAACCTTCCCGTTTTGACGCATACTCACACACAGAAATCCAATATGGCGGACGCCGCGCACATGTGAAAAAGTGCCGATCAGAAATCGATTGCTTGCCCACATACGATTGAAGCGAAACTTGGCGAAACAATAGCTCGGATACTACGAATGAAAATTATAACAATGGATTTAGTGGACTCGGACTTTTTTCGGCTAAAAATCGCAAAAAACTGATTTCAACCAATCAGATGGCAGGATTTCTCTGGTGCTACTGCGCATGCGGTGCCGAAAGGTACTACAGTTCTTATGCACATCGTTACTTAAATTATACATCACAGAGATCTGATTTCCTAGTCTGTTGTATGTATAAATAAAAATAAATAGTCTGTGAAAATTTGATTCATTTTTCATTTTGTCGGTTTGGGTCATGCCATGATTGCCACACATCGTTTAGCAGATTGATTTGCATTATTCACTTGTAAGTAAATCTAACTGTTGTAAACAGCAATATGAACAATAAAAAAAGTATTTTAAACATAATTTTGATGTTTTAGTAATGATGCCAGGTACATTTTGGGACCCTCTACATACGAACATACTCTACATATAATATTGGCTAAAAATTTAAATTTGCTTCAATCACRTAATAAGAACCTCTTTAGGGTCAATTTAAATTTGACTTTAATTAATCACAAATTCTCTGTTGAAACCAAAAGCTATGGAAAAAAAGATGCAGAATGATCAAAGACTACATCTTTTCAAACTGTAACAATGAARTCGAAACAGAAGAACGCATGTTCAACTATATTCCTTAAGCTTAACAAAATCTAATATAGCAAATGCAATAGCCATACATTCATATTCATACCAGCCCAAAATAAGTGTTCTTAATGTAGTTCATACATATGGACTGTAGACGCGGTGCATCAGATTAATGTATTCACTTCAAACACAACACGATGGAATTGATGATTTTATTTTCGGATTGACGATAATGATTGCGAGAATGTTGATAATGTCGATAATGTCGGTTTGAACTGAAATAGTACGAACATAAAACATCTCGTGACTTAATTCTACAATCGTTCACATCACGTAACGCTAAGATACAATACAATTCCTASTTTTGACTATTACTAATGCATAAAAGATAAAAATAAGAATAATGAACAAATTAACTACATGCATAATATGTTATAAATGAATACAAGCATAATCAACTTGAAATAACTTCAGATTTAAAGATAACTAAATCATGGGACACAAATTTGCATATGAGCTTCATAAACTACAAATATAGCCCGTATAATAACTATTATAACATAAAGAATATAAAGGCAAAGATTTGACTTACGTTTGGTATACAGATGCACCAGATAGAGATAGATTACTAAGACGATGAATATTGAAATGGTTGCAGCTTACTGGCTAACTTACAACTGACAAAAGGGGTTTGTTACATTGACGAGCTTGGCACACCTTAATGTAGCGTGATTCGATATAATGCTGAACTGATTGATTGTTGACATAATTAAACAGATAACAAGAACAAAATAATACTATTTTAGTTAAGGGGATTAAATGGACGTAAATGTCGTTGANTCAGAAGTGTATGGTATAACAAAGAATCTGAACCAGAGAAGCATTACAGAGAATTGTTAATGTTGTTCACATCATGGCGTAATGAAGAAGTTGATCTTCTTAGTAATTGTTCTTCTTATCAAGAAAGATTTATGCAAGTTCACAACATGATCGATGAACAAATGAAACAATATGCAGTATGTAGAGAAGATTTTAGTGAAATACAATTGGAAATGAATAGACTTGAAGACAGATATGATACTATAGCTCCAGGCACTCAAAGTGTTGAGCATGAAGATTGTACTGAAGGTAACCAGGACTTACACCCTGACTTTAATGAAAACTATAACCTATCAGATGACTTAGGAATACCATCAGTTGATAATACTGAACCTTTGACAATGAATGAACTACCAGATGATGAATATAGACATATGGTACAAACATTGAATAAAGAACAAAAAGAGTTMTTTTATCATGTTCTTCATCTTATAAAGACATCTGATGAACCATTCTACTGTTTTCTTAGTGGAGGTGCTGGTGTAGGAAAATCACATGTTACTAAAGCTGCATATCAGGCAGCCATAAAGTATTATAACACTAGAGTAGGTGTTAACTTTGCTGAAGTAAAAGTATTAATGCTAGCACCAACTGGTAAAGCAGCTTATAATATTAAAGGTAACACGATACATAGTGCTCTAGCAATACCAGCATGTCAGTCATTGAGACAATATAAAAAGCTTGATTCTGGCAGATTAAACACAATCAGATGTCAAATTGGTGGAGTGAAACTTATATTTGTAGACGAAATCTCCATGGTTGGTAACACCATGTTTAATGTGCAATTCAATAATAGACTCAAAGACATCAAAGGTAGCTCACTACCATTTGGTGGTGTTAGCATTATTGCTATTGGTGATTTATTCCAACTACAACCTGTAATGGATGGATATATATTTAAAGACATGGATAATTTTGAATATGGAATACTTGCACCCAATTTCTGKCAAGAGTTATTCAAAATRTTTGAACTCAAACAGATAATGAGACAAAGAGAAAGTAAGCAGTTTGCAGAAATGTTAAATAGGTTAAGAGAAGGAAATCAAACTGAGGATGACATAAAAAAATTSAAAGAAAGAAYAATAGATCCTAATAGCAATAATTATCCAAAAGATGCTCCCCACTTGTTCATACAGAATGCTAAAGTAAATGACTTCAACCGTAAAGCACATAATGCATTGCCAGGAACAAAATACTCAGTCAATGCACAGGATAGTGTTATAGGAGCTGAGTCACAAGAACTTAGGGATAAAATACTTAAACAAGTACCTAGTGATCCTAGAAAAACAAAGCAGCTATACTCTGTACTTAAACTAGCAGTAGGTGAGAGAACTGAAATATCTCTTAATACTAGAACTGATGATGGTATGACCAATGGTGCTGGAAATGTTATTAAACTAATACAAATACATCAAACAGACAAACCATCAGGTATAATATGGGTACAGTTTGACCATCCTGATGTTGGTCAGAAAACTAGACATGATAACAGACAGTTATATACTCGAGATATTCAACCATCATGGAAACCAATTAAACCCATAAGTACTCAATTTGCTGTAGGTAGAAATAGAACTGTACAGGTTGTAAGAAAGCAATTTYCACTAAGACCGGCTGCTGCTAAAACTATTCACAGATCACAAGGTGATACTGAAACTACAATTGTAGCTAATTTTGAAACTAAAAGAGCCATACCTCATATTCATTATGTTGGGCTAAGCAGAGTTATAACTATAGAAGGGTTATATATCACTGATTTTTGTGAAAACAAAATATCTGTTTCTCCCGATGTTCAGAAGGAGATGGAAAGGTTGAGAACTCAAGCAAACTCAAACCATGCATAACTCCAATTTACAATGCAGATCCAATTAATTTTAAATTATGCTCTCTTAACTGCCGATCTTTGCATAAGCACATTGACGACATTCGCAATGATCTCAATTACTCTGCAACTGATTCAATCCAACTGAAAGTGATTCTATATACACAATAAATAACTACAATTTATTCAGAAATGATGGTGTATCAAACACAAATGTTAGACCATATGGTGGTACAGCTGTTTATACCACATTAGATTACTATCCTGGGTATCCACAGATACATAATGCTTCTGATATTGAAATCACATTAACAAGATTTATGATTCTCCCACATGTTACAATTATAGGAATTTACAGGCCTCCAAACATACATGTCAGGCAATTGTGTGAAGCTTTAAGACAAGAAATTCAATTACTGTCATCACAATATGCAATATTTATTGGTGATTTTAATTTCAATTGGTTTGATAAAAATCACAAAAACTCTCCACTGTATAATTTGTTTATAAAAGATTATAATTACAGACAACTAGTGACAAAATGTACAACAGATAACAAGACCTGTATTGATCACATATATACTAATTTACCAGAGTCCTTCATTTCATTCAATGTCTTGGAGACATACTTTTCAGACCACAAAGCAATCTATGCTTTAATCAACTGCTTTTCATAGAATTTCCTTTAAATATTCTGCTAATGATAATAAAGAGCAACAATCAATGTGATTTTCTCATCACATACCCGTAAATTCACACAATACAAACGTTTGCTTTTTTATCATTGTTACAGTATTGTTACATTTTCATTTAATTATTATTTATAAACATGTTTTATTTTTCTTTATATCTATCTGCCTATAAAAACTTGTTTATTACAGAACCTCCTCAGTTAGACTAAACACTGTTGATGTCCATTTATGTTTTTCGTTATATATACAGATTCTGTATTCNTGTTCATATTGCTACTTATCTGTAGCAGGCTTTGCTGCGGACTCCAGCAGAACGATCTTGTCCACGGGTCGGACGAGTACATTCCTGTTGGTCCTCAGTTTCACTGAACGTACAAGGCCATCACTCCCATTGGTAAACACTTCTTCGATGCGTCCGAGTGGCCATGAACTACGTGGTGTGTTCTCGTCGAGCAATAGCACAACATCATTGACTGCGATGTTCCTCTTTTCTTTGTTCCATTTCTGACGCTCTTGAAGAGATGGGAGATACTCCCGCGTCCAGCGTCTCCAGAAAACGTCGGCCAGGTACTGCACTTGTCGCCATCGCCGTTTCGTGTAGTTGTCGCACTTGTCGAACGTACCTGGTGGGGCTTTAGTTCCTGCTCGTAGTAATAGTAGGTGGTTGGGCGTCAGCGGTTCAAGATCTCGTGGATCATCAGAGAGCTTAGTGATGGGACGACCGTTGACTATTGATTCAACCTCGCACATTAGAGTGTTGAGACCTTCGTCGTCGAGAACTTGTTCCGTTAGAATTGCTTTCATCACTTTGCGCACGCTTCGTATACAACGCTCCCATACGCCTCCGTGATGAGAGCCTGCGGGTGGGTTGAATTTCCACTTGATGTCGCGCTGGAGTAAGTGCTCGTGGATCTGCGAATGGTTCCACTGCTGTACCGCTTCTTTCAGCTCTCTTTCACCCTTTACGAAGTTTCCTCCGTTGTCAGACCTCATTTCCTCGGGCTGTCCTCTCCGCGCAATGAATCGCCGGAGAGCGTTGATAAATGACTCTGTATCCAATGAGCTGGCGACTTCGATATGAACGGCACGTGAGGTCAGACAGGTGAAGAGTACACCATATCTCTTTACAGTGGTTCTCCCGCGTCGTACTACGAACGGTCCGAAGCAATCCACGCCTACGTAAGTGAATGGTGGCTTCGACGGTGTAAGACGATCCTCTGGGAGGCTTGCCATTTTCTGTTGTACAACTGGTGCTTGTCGTCTCCTGCAACTGAAACACTCATTTAAGACGCGTTGTACTGCAGGACGAGCCTTGATTATCCAGAATCCTTGACGAATGAGTGACAAGGTGTATTCTAAGCCAGAGTGTCCACAAACATCGTGGAAATGCCTCACTATGAGCGTAACTATAGGATGTTTCTTTGGTAGAATGACGGGATGTTTTGCGTTGCTGTCAATTGGGGCTTTGTGGAGTCGTCCGCCAACTCGTAGAAGTCCTTCGTCGAGGAAKGGATCGAGCTTGTAGATGTCGCTGGACACTTTCACTGAAGCTRGCTTCTCTGACGACTTGTCAACGTGACTTAGTTGCCGGAGTTCTTCTTTAAAATGTTGTCCTTGGACGTGTTGAAGAATAGCGAGTTCTGCAGCCTTTAGCTCTGTGACGCTGAGAGGTGCTATCGTAAGGGTCGACCGCTCATTTGGCTTGCCAWCTCGGCGCTGAATTGCCCTCTGTCGTAGATTGGTTTTTAGGCGTAGGAGCCATGCTACTGTCTTCTTCAGGTGGATCCAAGAAGAGAACCTTTGAAACATTTCCGATATTGGATCGGGTTTAGAAGCATCAATAGCACAAGCCCTGGATTCGTTCCTTACYTCCGGATCGTCGTCGTTTACTACGCCAATGTCTAAGGGTTGCTTAGGCCAATCGTTTTCGGCTTGACRCAAAAACTCTGGACCATGTAGCCATCTCTTATTTTCAAGGAATTCATTGACTGATAGTCCACGCGATGCGTCGTCAGCMGGATTATTCGTTGTGTCTRCATGTCTCCATTGACTCTCCTYGCTTTGTTCGAGTATACTCGAAACGCGGTTGGCAACAAAGACTTGAAACCTCTTTGTCTTGCTCATAATGTACCGAAGGACACAGGTACTGTCCGTCCAGAAGGTTGATTTGCCGATTGGTATTGTCAGCTCCTTCCTTATAATCCTGTCGAGTTTTGTCGCAAGAACCGCAGCGCATAGTTCTAGCCTCGGTATGGTGACGGTCTTAAGTGGTGTCAATCTTGATTTTGCCATTACAAGAATGCAATGGGCCTTTCCGYTTTCGTCAATCATACGTAGATAGGAGGCGGCACCATATCCACGTTCAGAASMGTCAGAAAAGTGATGAAGTTCGTATGACTTTATCGTTGTTGGCCCTCGAGGCTTGAAGCAACGTTTGACTGAAAACTTCTCCAGATTAGGCAAATCGTTCAACCATTCTTGCCACTTTTTCTGATCTATGTGTGGAATCGGATCATCCCACTTCAGCTGCTTCCTACAGAGCTCTTGAAGTAGTACCTTTGCTGGTAGTATACATGGGCTGACAAATCCCATTGGGTCGTATATTGAGCTGACGATGGAAAGTATGCCTCTTCTAGTCGCTGGCTTGTCCTTGATTGAAATTTTGAAATTGAATTCGTCGTTTTGAACATTCCAGCGGACTCCTAGCGCCCTTTCGTTCAAGTTACTGTCAAAGTCAAGGTCCTTGACGGGCGCAGCTCTTTCTGACTCAGGGATTGATTCTAGTACGGTTTTGTCATTCGAAATCCATTTGGTTAGTCGAAAACCTCCTCTAGAGAGAAGCTCGCGTAGTTGCGTAGCTAGTCGGATAGCTTCCTCACTGGTCGGCACGGACTTTAGACAATCGTCGACGTAGAAATTAGATAGAATTGTTTCTACTGTGATAGGGTCGAAGTCTTGCTCATTGTCCTTCGCGGTTTTCTTCAGAGCAAAATTTGCACAGCTTGGTGATGAGGTAGCTCCAAACAAATGTACCATCATTTGATAGTCTACTGGCGGACTATTCAGGTCACCATTTGGCCACCAGAGAAATCTAAGAGCGTTGCAGTCACTAGGACGTACCCTCACTTGATGGAACATCGCCTCGATGTCGGCCATTAGTGCAATCGGTTCTTGCCTAAAACGAGTTAATACTCCGACGAGAGAGTTTGTAAGGTCCGGCCCCTGTAACAGCTGATCGTTCAGTGAAGTTCCACGCCATTTCGCTGAGCAATCAAATACCACCCTTACCTTGTTAGGCTTTTGTGGGTGCTGCACGGAGTGGTGCGGTAGATACCAGATAGGGACGAGACTTTCGTCTGATGGAGTCACTTGTCTTGCGTAGTCCTTCACTATTAAGTCATCAATGAAGGTTTTGTACTTGTCAAATGTATTGGAATCCCTCTGGAATTTTCCTTTCAGTATGTTTAAGCGACGTTCAGCCATGGATTTGTTGTCTTCAAGGTGAGGCGGAAATTGCTTCCACGGTAGGGCGATCTCGTAGTGATTATCCTTGTGTATTACTGTGCTTTCCATGATTGTAAGTGCCTTGTGATCGTTTTGCGACATCGCAACTTGGTCTTCGCTGGATGTATCCCTGAACTCTAGGTTACAATACCGTTCAAATTGCTTGGTTAATGAA